GAGCAGCCCCTGCAGAGGGGGTGCAGGACCCATGGCGGGATCTGGGCTTGGGAGGGAGCATCTGATGAAGGTGCTAACGCATCTGGTTGTGATAACCCCTAGAGGAAAGGAGACTGCAAAGCAGCACCCTTGCGATAAGGACCGGGAATGCGTGGCTCCTCCTGACCCGGCGGGGGCTCAGCACTGGGCCCCCGGTGCTCAGCACTGGCCCCAGGACAGGTTTCCAGCCCTGCTGAGTCGACTGGGGAGCCTGCACCTCCAGGCCTCTGTGCTGGTCCTGTGCTTGCCATTATGCAGAATTGGAATTGCACTATTCTGTTACTATTTAATCTTTTCAGCCAGACCATTCGTTTCCTTCCCTCCTGGGTGCATCATACATTTACAAGCGATCAATACGAGGAGCATCATGCCCTGCTCTGCCTCGGGGACTCTCTAAACACCAGCTGGCTTAATTTGCTTGATTTGGTATTGTTTTTTAAGTTTTAAAAAACTCTTTCTTTAGAGTTCACATACAGATTAAGAAGTTTGGCGCACAGCTATTCAGCAGTTACTTACTAGCTCTGCGTGCCAAATTAATGGCTGCACATCAGGGTCTTGGGATACCCGTCCTCTTCTGTTTTATTTTCACCCACTTCCCCCTATTCTGGCAACGCGGCATGCTCTATTGTACAGTACTTGGGCTTTCAGAAAATGCAGGCTCTTACGCCTTGGGACCGTGAATGTTCCTCGGCAGGAAGTTTTGCCTCGGTCTCTGCTGGTGTCTTGGGACGCTTAATCCTTTCAGGGTTTCTTAGCTGCTGCCGAGTTTCAGAGTCGTATATTATTAATGCTGGGCAGCCGCTGGCTGATTGATTAAGTCTCCACTGATTCTTTGTGCGGCTTTGGCAAGGGGGCAGCTGAATTTGAGGGGTGAGGCTGCAGGCTGCGGGCACAGGCAGGGGGAGCACGCGTCCCCGCAGTAATCCCAAGAGTCCCCGTGTCTGAGACATATCCCTGTTTGCAAGTCTTCTCCCACGTCCTTCTTTCTTTAGCACCATGATCGCCAAAGCACCAAGAGACCACCTGGTTTTGACCATGGCATCCTCTGGCTCCCTCAGGTCTCCTTCCCTTCCTGATCACGCACATCCTGGATCTGGTGGGTCCCTCTACCCTAGCAGCTGGGACAGTCTGGTGAGGAACAAGCTGAAGGATTTCTCTGCCCACAGATGTTGTTCAGGCTACTACGGCCTGTTTAGCACTAAGCACTCAATGGCCAAAGGGCTTGCAAGAAACCCCTACCAAAAATGGCATCAAAGAGTTAGGCCTCCATCAAAACCACCAGAAGATGACCACACGACTAATACAAGTTTAACCAATTTCTGTTTCCATGTAGGTGGATGCTTTTAAATGTGTGTAAAGTAGCTCTGTAACATTGGTTTGTGTGTGGACTTTGCCTAAAAAATGTAGAAGAGAGAGAGAAATTTTCATTTAGGAAAGTGAGGCATCTAAGAGTTTGAAGAACGTTTTGTAGGTGGTAGCAAAAATGAAAATATGAAAACACAAGACACGCTTTGAGAACTAAATATTCCCTCTGCAAATTTGTTTTGTTTCTTTTGTATATTTGCTTCTCATTCTTTTCAAACATTAGCACACATTTAAGCATATATGAATATGATAAGCCAGACAGACCAACTAGTATCTGTGGTGAGACCAACTGATATCTGCGATGAGGCCAAAATAGCACAGAAAGTGATGTTATCTTAGTATTTGTGCTTTAGCCTAGATGCTTGCGCATTCTGTCTGACTCCATCTGTATCTGTCCATTGCTAACGCAGTCCACTTGCTGTACTGTATTTTGCTTATTCCTGCTTTGATGATCCAGGCATTTTAATAAGACAGGAAAGGATCATTTGAAAAGTTTTTGAAAGATTTTGCTATTTGCATTGCTGCTGAAAAGTCTTTTAAGGACTTTCAAGGTCAGTTTTGAAGTTTTATTTGTACTGGTTACATCTGACCCCTGTGAGATAGCAGCTGAAATCTATTCATTAAAAATAAATAAATTAGAAAGTCATCATTAGCCAGGAGGCGGGGGGGGGGGGGGGCGGGGTATGTGTGCACCAACGTAACAAGCAGGAGGTGTTTACAACATGTTCAAGATCCTCTTCTGTTCTGTTTACTGTTCAGGTTTTTCACAGGAATCTTTTTCGTGGCAGGTCTCAGCAGCAAGTCATACAGTTAGGAACAGCACACTTGTAAACCCACAAGTTAAACAGAGTGGAAGGCAGCATTTTCCAGTAGCAGTTAAAGCCGTGCCCCAGCTCCGGGCTGGATCACCAGGCACTCCGACTGCCCCGCGTCGCTCCCGATGCCGAAAGCAGCCGGCTCCATTGTTTTTATGGCCAACCTGTGGCATGAGCACGGGGCCACGCTGGCAGGGGGCTCCGGCTCCCCCCTGACCCGCAGGCGA